ACGCAACGGATTTTGATGCGGTATTTTTTAATAGATAAAGTGATTCTTAAGGGAGGTTTATATGTATAATTCATGAATATTAAACCAGTGCGAAGCCGGAACGGGTCGCTAGTACTGACTAAAATTCATCCCTTTTCTACTCCTGCTCCGAGCTGAAGCCCTGGTAACCCGTAAGGTCGTCCGCGTCTCCGGCAGACACATGTAGTTTGAGGTTTAAAAATGTGATAGTGAAGAATGCAAGGCAAATATCATATGAGAGGGCCATGCTTTGGCAAGAATCGAATAGGTTATCCAGACCCGAGTGATACCACGTCTCATAGGAAACCGATATATGATATAACTTACGCTGTATTTTCTCAGCAACCTCAGATTTTTTAGTTTAAAAATAAGATATGATACGTATTGTTCCTGAAAACGCTGTCCAATTAGGTAATAACAACCTCATAATCGAAATATTAATTAACCTGGTTGGTAATGAAACTATTCTGCACTCCCATTAACAATCACTCCACTCAAATAAAAACTTTATCTCAACAGCATAAATTCCCATTTCGTTTTGTTACCACAGCAGTAACTCGCTGACTACATAAAAGCTTTTAGGTATGCCATTAAAAACTTAGTAGTGTTTCATTTTGATACGAAATTCTGTATTAGAGGTAAAGTACATCAAATGAACCAGTTACCGTCCACCAAATTGCTGAGAGTGCACGGTTCTCAGGGGGCATGGTGACGTCACGTTTTCCTGGTAACACGCCGTGATTATTTTGTGATTCTTGTTTATCTATATATTTAAGATAAAACTTTTTTTTTGTTAAAAGTTTAAACGGTCGAACACCGCGAGGACACTGGTGTCCGCACACCTATTCTTTAATTGTGTCTATAATGACGGTACTCAAAGGGTTTGTGTTATGCTCATGTATTAGTTTACAATTGTCAAGCCACATAGTGCACAAGAATATTGCTGGTTAGAACCCCTTCAGAAATGAGAATGTTACGATAGAAGCATTATTCTCTGTATGATCCTCAAATTGTCTTTGGGCCTGGGTCTCATGTGTATGTGAATTTTATATGTTTGTAAATTTACCCACGATGCAGGAGAAAATCCTAGTGTGTAACAAAAAGACCTTACAATAGATTTTTTTAAAAAATGATTCCTTTTCATTGTTTACAAACTGCCTCACTCTACCTGTAAAAGCGAGCTACCTTTTTAGCTTTTTACGTTTAAATAGAACTGTATAATCCATCACTATACTAGCTGTTATCTACCGGGAGCTATCTCAGAGGGAATATATGAATTTCCAGTGAAAAAGTCCAGTTAAAATAAATAGTTGCCAGGACAGCCGCTCTGCGCCCATTCTCTGTACGATGTTGCACCATAATAGTTTGAGGAATATTCTAGAATTTTTGTAAACGTGTTTTTATAAACCGTATGGTGATGCTAGAGAAGAATAATTTTGATACCAGCAGTATTCTTCCCGTGGGTGTCGTAAAACTAGACACTGGTCTCCGGTAACCCACTGGGATTACCGGGGCTCCAGCTCGAAGCAGGAGCAGGGTTGTTAGTTAGTAAAAGTTTGACACGGATTTCGCCTCAACCAAGGCAAGAGACGTCATTGGATGATTTTGCACCTTAACATAAGTCTACATATCTTACAGAGATCGAACGTTCCTCTGATAGACCTGAACTTTTTCTGCAAGTAATTAATTTTTGTATTTTTGGCTTTTGGCGACTACCGAGCAAGAAGTTTGAGTTTTCTGACGGAAGTTTGTGTAAATAATTTTGTATCAATAAATTAACAAATAACTAATACTCAGAATGCTTTGCAATAGTAACTGAATTAAAGGCATTTTTTCACGCAAAAAAGAATAATAACTTTGAACTTTGTGTTGGTTGTTTACGGATGGTATGGCCGGACCATTTGCCTGTAAGTGCTTAATTAAACGAACCAGTAATATTTCATTGGACTTTAATTGAACCAGAAAATGTTAATTTATATCCCGTTGAAGTTACTTTATCACGATAGTTCCGTATAATGCATGATGATACAAAATGCATTAAATTTAAAACGGAATATTTTAACTAGAGTTAATCAATTTACTGCCGAGACATTTTTGTTAAAGCGTATGTAACATTTCTTGACATGGGAAAGGTAAGTATGTAAGTATCTAGGTTGCTTATAGGACGTCGTGCTCCATCGTAGACTGCATCATCGCTTAGCACCAGACGAGATAGTGGTCAAATGTCGGTCCATCAAATATATATATAAAAGAAAATCAGTACCCTTGGCTCGGCAGTTACATTTGGGAATCTACTAACAAGACGGTCACTGTTGTTCACAAAAATGGCTATCAAGGTTCGTTTACTCCAAAAATCACCACGTTTGACCTCATCTTATCATTTTAATGAAGTTTTCTTTACGTTTTTTCTGTTATTTTCTCTTAACTCAAGCCCCTTGAGTCCAGAGTAAAGGGAAGCGTATCAAGGGACAATTTCCCCTTTGAGATTAACAGTGTACAAGCGATTATGTATACAATAGGACACGTTTGTAGATAAACACTTTGTAGTCAAAGAATAGGAAACCTGATTATGTAGATAATATCGCAATTTGTGCAGCTGTCCGCTGGTTATATGGTTTAATGTTCCGTGGCATTCTTTGTGGATAATAGCCACGTTGCCTTTGTTAAATGTGATTGTAAAATAATTTATTTTTGGTAATAATTTTAAAACGATCGCTTTGGTGATCGTGGTTGCAACTGCCAAGTATAGAATATTCCGTAGGTGTGTTTCGGTTTTACGAAAATTTATCAGTTATAGAACAGAGTGCCAAGCATGATATTGCATTCGTAACGTAATAGTATCAAGCGTGATCGACGTTCTGATTGGCCAGCTCCTGTGACCCACCCAGGCATTCAAAATGGTGTTAGGTCACTAGTCTCACCCCTATTATATGCGACTCATAATATAGGTAACTGGTAAAAATGGGAACAATACAAGTCACAATATAGTTTGTAGAAAGTTTACATTGTATATACAGTTTTGTCTCTCTACCTGCCTCTTCTCTTCGGGGTAATAGTGATATGTGTGATGTTATGTTACAGAATGACATAGTGAATTCAAGAGATAAATGTAGCTATGCAGTGATTAATGCAGTGTGAAACGGACTTTGAAATAGATATGCATTTCTTTGTTACTAATATTAATGTTTGTAGGTCCAAGTTCATGTTTCAAAATGATAAAACAATGAAAAGGTCTTTCAGTGATATTTTCTGCATTTATGGTGTAGGTTGGGTATGTGGTTTTTTATGAATTCGCCATCTTCATCTAATGGATGTCGTAAGACGTACACATTTAAGAGAGACCGAGCAGTGACGCTATATGATAAATCTGATTTTTTTGAAACATGACCTTCCAAGTGTGGTGATGAGGTATGACAAATTCTTTCATAATAATTCAGCAGTTGACTATCACGATCCGACCGTCTACTGCAGTTTGTCAACGATGACTAAAAATTACTTTTCATAGTTTTAAATCGACAGGTGGAGTTCAGAACGATTAATAGTAAAATTAAAATTGTCTACAACTACATACTGTTAGTCCGTAAAATCAAATACAGATTGTAATGTTATTATGAAAACAGATTATTAGAAATATACAGTAGGTAGCTGAACCGTGTCCTTGTTTGAACAATATCTACAAAGGATTGGGTGGAGATCAATTAAATGCGCTCTTTGGAAAACAAGTAAACAATGATTGTTGACGTCAAATTGGCTCTTTAGAATAATTGGCCACGGTTCCCTTTTGGCAAAACTTTTAAATTATAGAGGAATCGAAATCAAAGATTACTTACAAAGTTGAAGAATTTATTTTAAACGGACGCCGGTACCATTTACTGAACCTTCCTAGTTGACATTCATGATTTTGATTAATAGGTCCAGATTTAATTGGAAAAACTTTATGATTCAAATTCGTTTAATACGTTAAGATTCTTGTTTTAATAAGAATTACTACTGTCCGTGTTCCGAAAGTTTATTACGAACTTTGTTTTATCGTTTGTGATTAATTGGATTTGGATTTATGAATGAAACGCTCGAAATGTTTCACTTGTAAAAATACGCCAAGGAAAATTTTATAGAATTTTTCTTGAAAGGAATTCTGAAGAACTCTGTATTGGAATGATTTCATCAATGTACTTGTAATTCTTCTGGTGTTGTGGGTGTCCATGGGTAGCGACTGCGCGATTTGCGCGGTGGCTCGGCAATGGTTGCCGCGCAACGTTGAGCGGTTTCGATTCCCGCACGGACCAACTCTTCGTGTGATCCTCAAATTGTTGTTTCGGGTCTGGGTGTTATGTGTATGTGATATTGTATGTTTTTAAACGCACCCACGACACAGGAAAAATTTCTAGTATGGGCCGACGTTTTTTAAAATAAACAAAATAAAACAAAAAAAATGTTGCTTACTACAAATGATAATGATAGGTGACGCTTTTGCTAATGTGCCGGTTTCTTCCAATATCTTACATCTTATACATTTGTATCATATAAAGCTGAAGAGTCTGTTTGTTTATTTGTATGCGTTCATCTCAGGACCTATTGGTCCGATTTGGAAAATTATTTTTGTGTTGGATAGCCCATTTATCGAAGAAGGCCTTGTAAACTACTATAGGTTATAGATATAAAACTATAGGTTATAAAATATCACGCTACGATGAATAGGCGCCAAGCCGCAAGTAGCAGGTAAATCTATATCTATATATATAAAAGAAAGTTGTGTTAGTTACACTATTTATAACTCAAGAACGCCTCAATCGATTTAGATGAAAATTGGAAGGGAGGTAGCTTAGAACCAGGAGACGGACATAGGATACTTTTTATAGAATACTTTTTTTACTTTTTACCGAAAATTACGAACGGGAACGGGGGGAAAATGGGATTGCGCGTACGAAGTCGCGGGCAGAAGCTAGTTAATAATAATACAACTTCATTTTCTTTGTTCTCAGGTGGTAGAAGACTGGAAATTCATGTCGATGGTACTAGATCGCTTCTTCCTATGGCTGTTCACCATCGCTTGCTTCGTCGGCACCTTCGGCATCATCTTCCAGTCACCTTCACTCTACGACACCAGGGTACCAGTAGACCAGCAAATCTCGTCCATACCGATGAAAAAGAACAACTTCTTCTACCCTAAAGATATTGAAACTATTGGTATTATCAGTTAAATGATAAACTATCATAAACTAGTTTAAGAAAACCGATTTCATGCTCTTTCTTTTGATTGAAGGCGGTTAGTATACTAACATGTGCTCATAAGAACAAACGCTGTACTAAAATCCCCATTAATTTTGGTTCAGCCATTCGTGAGATAATCGCGGGCCAGCATGCATAGTACATGAGTTTGAATTCAACAACCTATAAGTGTCCACTGCTGACCAAAGGCCTCTAGTCACACGGAGAAGGTTTGAGCATCCTTTGTTTTGAAGTAGAATTTAAATGAGTGTTGTTACTCAATACGACAAGATGATTTTAAACTGATCTTTTTATATATGTAGTGTGCTTTGGAAGAACTGCACCTTGAATAGTTTGATTATTATGTTTATTATATTGTTTAAGTGTTATTCATACAACATCAGCCTTGAGCAGTGGATTACAACTATTGCATAAAAGTTATATTAAATTCCTTACATTTTTTGGAATAAAAACTCGTTTGTTGCTGTCACTTACTGCGTTTACAAAGCGTTACGTTGACATCCTGTATCTATGCCGCGGAGGACTTCGGGTTACTGGGTCTCCAGCTCGAAGAGCAGAAGTAGGAACGGGGTGGTTTTTAGTCAGTAAGACTCTGACTTGACTGTCCCTCCCGCCTCACTCTGGCGGGAGAAGCCATTCGATGATTTTTCCCCCTTTAAAAAAATTCTGTATGTATAGGCATACTTACATTTTATATATTCTTAGTCACCCAAGATTCGTTTCCTTCTTCAATCCCACGTTAAAATACAAGGAAATAAGTATTAACTCGTTAAGAAATAGGATATGATTGGAATATTGACTTTCCTGGTCACATTCCTGTGTTCCCTTCAAATTTTGCACGTGCCAAACGTACACGTGTATAACTTACGTCTTGTTGTAAATGAAAGAATAAATGCCCGAATACTGAAAGGCTACTCAATTTTAATTTGTATGTACTTAAATATCGTGCCATCTCTGTCATTTTACAAAGAATTTGTAGTGACAGAACTATGCTTAGGCGCGACTTAAAATTGATTTGGCGTTTGAGTAATTGTACCAGTACTGTAAATTGAATATGTCGATCTGATTTTGAATCTTATATGTGTGTTAAAAAGTGATTTTTCTGAATAAAACGAGTCCTGTATGTATCACACTAAGCATGAATATATGTACATTAATCACACATTAATCACTTAATATATTGTACCGAAGGCCCCCAAAATTTGTTCATACTAAAGTAGACTCTAAACATCGGAAATAAGGTACATTATGGAGTTAATGGAGAGCGGACCTATAATTATGGTATATTTTTAACATAATCATGTACAATGGAACTTAATTTTATGAAAACATTTTATAATTTAGTGTACAAATAAGACGGCTTTATCCACTCCCATATTTGATCATCTTGCTCACTTAACGTAATGGAAATATAAAGTATACATTAATAATTAAATAATGTTTTAGTGTAAGTAGCACAATTAATTAATTAATATTTATTGTCTATAAAATAAAGAAAAAAAATACGAATCATAAGTTAAAATATGTAATAATTATTATTTTGTAAAACAAATCACAGACAAGATGTTTGTTTTATTTTAAAATTGATATTATTATTTTCATCTTAGTGAGTTTAGTTTAAAAACTGAAAGTTGATTCTAGCAAATTAGTACTACTTTAAATAAATATATAAAATAACTGTTAATCACTATTTGATAGGAAATAAAATAACTTTAGCTTATAGAATATTAATGAAAACAAATAAAAATAATTATTATAATTTGTTATTTTATAATTTATATATGTGATATTTAGTTAAAAAATCTGATATTATTTTAAATGCTACATAATAAACATTGTTTTGGTGATAAATTTAAGATTTTAAATATCATAATAATATTGTAATGTAATGATTAAAATTTAAAAATAAGTATTATTATAATTGTAATATTAAATACATAATTAAATATTTAAATGTAACGGCTGTGAAAGATAGGTTTTAAATTTTATAAACTGAGTTAAGTAATCAAAGATCAATTGTACGTTATAAATATAAAATTTAGAGCCTAATAAATAAATATATACTGATGACATACGTATTTTTATTTCTAACTTTATGATAATTTTACCTAATAATATTTTATCTGCAAAATCTTCGATCGATGTTTGTCGCTCAGTCGCATCAATTCGACTGGATAGTCTCGATGAAAATTAATATAAAGGGAGATTACACTGATACATAAGTCCGACTGTTTGTAGGAGTTTATAAGGTTGAATTTCAGATTTCATAAAAATAATGAATAGTCTTGAATCGAAATCGATCGGGAGACTTTATTATCAGACTGGCTGTTTTACGTTTAAAGTAATCGAAACGAGTATGAATTCGACTCTATGATTGGTTGCTTCAATGGAGCCGTCCAATCAGAGAGCCCTTAAACTCATACTAAGGCTAGTTAGTGCTAAAAATCTGTGTCGTGAGGGGAGCCTTTGTGCCCAAACAGCATTAAGCTGAGCGTTAGCTATTTTGTGCTGTAGTAATACTTTTTTTGTTGGCTCCTTTTACTAATTGTAATTAGTATGTGTCACAGCGTAAATAAATAGGTAGGTATAATCGTTTTTTCTTTTACATATCATAGTTAACAGATATGTAAGGCAAAATGAAACAATAAAATCATGTAAATTATTTTATTGTTTACTGTGAGTGAATTCGACGAGCCTGGTGATGTAATCGAACAGGCTAGTAGGACAGTCCTCCACATACTTGTCGCAGTCACCGCGGTGGCCATCCGCCTCGGCTTCATAATACTCATCTTCTATTCCTTCTTCTTGAGATGATGAGGGGCTGTTGGTAAAAGGAGAATTTATAATAACTATCGTGAGACATACTAAATTAAGTAAAAACGCGGGTTACTCACGTGAATATAATTCGCCCCATCAATTATAAAAAAAAAAAAAAAAAAATATATGTACTGAGAAAAGCTCTACTAGTCCACAGAGGGGCACGCTGCTCATGAGGAAGAACCCCTCTGTGGTTCGAAACTAGTAGAGCTTTTCTGAGTATATTCACGTGAGTAACCCGCGTTTTTACTTAATTTACTTAAAAAAGGAGAATTGTTGTAAATGAAAGTGTGTAATTCCCATCATGGACCACGGTATTTGATAATGGGGGTAAGTTCGCACATTATGTACCTATTTTCTCATACTTGCTGCCTGCCTGCCTCGTTGGCCGAGTGGTCTCAAGTGCGACTGCCGGGCAAGGGGTCTCGGGTTCGATTCCAGGGTCGGCTTAATTATTACTGGGTTTTTAAAAATCTCAGTAGTAGCACGGAATCTGGAAATGTGCCCGATATATGGTAATAGGCTCACCCCCTATTACATGGGACTCACAACATAAATAGTGGAAAGTGGGCGTTACATTGTTCAGTGGCATTAAGTGCCGAAATGTGCACCTCTGCCTACTTGCCCTTCGGGGATAAAAAGGCGTGATGTTATGTTATGTTGTTTCTCATACTTCTTCACCATAGATTAGTCGTAGCCTTTTTAAACACCCATATTAGTATTTTCCGTTATCATTACAGTACATTGAGAACATGTTAGTTAATTCTCAACTTTATACCTAACTTTGTAATCTATGTAAGATTACATGGAGTCGAATAACATAAAAAATATAAAACGATGTCAATTTTTTTGTTCGACCCATCCAGCCATGGTAACTCGATTTTGTTATATTCAAATCACATAATTTTTAATGGAACGCCTCCCTTATATTCATATGACACTGAGTTTTCAACCTAATTACTTACGCAGGAGTTGCTATTTTCCATTTCGTTTATCTTTTAACTTAGGGTTACCTATTGGTTTTTTACCAGTTATGTTTGTCATAACTTATTGAAAAATATAATTTAACTTAACGTTAGTTTCGAAGGTGGTTCAGGAATTTAACAGTTTTACTCGCATTGACGTGTTTAGAGTAACCGTTAACTATTTAAAAAATCTTTGTTTTTTGTAAAATAACTACTAAGAGCCGATTTTTCAATAATCAGTTAATTCGTAACTGTAGAAAAAAATTGTCGTTTGACAGTTTTCAGTATGGAAGAATTGCCAATTATTCAAAGTTATTCCGCAGTTAAAATTTATCTAGCGTTGGAAAATCGACCATAAACATAGTTTAGATTTTTAGATAGTTGTGCGATCTTCACATTGTTTGTCACGCAATGTTTTAGATGATCATGAGCTCCTACCGTAGCTTGAAATTAGTCGAGTGGTCTTCGTCAAAAAATGATGTGAGTAATTAATCTCAATTTCTATAGGCGTTTTACCTATGTCTTTTAAAATTGATGTGCAAACAAGATAACTCTTATATGAATGTAATATATTAATAAACTTACGTGAATATAATGTGTAGGATATGGCCAAGGATGCCGTTGTGGTGTAATGGAGTCTCAGCTGCTTCACAAATGTTTCGTAACATGCACTCTCTGCCCTTCATACCGTATCTGGAATTATTAAGCAATACATTAAAAAGAGAATCTAAATAACTGTATCTCAATGAATAGGTTATTTTTTGGAAGGTAAGTAAGGATGCATATCTTACATGTATCGCCCAATTTAAAAAAAATACAATATGGTTTGCGCATTGCACTGGCTCGGTAACCAATTCCTTCCATTCTAATTTTTTACATAATTGAATGTGGGAGAGCCATGCTTCGGCACGAATACCCCGGCTCAACCGAAATGATACCACGGTCTCACAGAAAACCGACGCGAAACAACGCTTGTGGTGTTTTACGTCGTGTGAGTGAGATTATCGGAGGCCCAATTACCCCCGAGTCCCCAGTCTCCCCAATTCCCAAATCCTCCACAATCCTTAAATTCCCAAAAGGCCAGTAACGCACTTGTGACTCCCTGGTGTTTCAGGTGGTAACGCCTTGGTGGTTCAGGTGTCTATGGGCGGCGCCGATTGCTTACCATTAGGTGATCCGTTAGTTCGTTTACCGGCTTATGCCATAAAAAATTACTATCTAAAATGAGTGACTCTATCTAGCCTATTTATCGCCGTTCCACGACTGAGAAAGTTTGCAGATATTCTTAAAAATAGAATTGACATCTTTTATCTTACTTATGTATAGACAAATACTTACTCTTGAAACCTATTCTCCAAGATGGTGTAAGTCAGCTCTCGTGATATACTGCGACTTTGACGTGATGTTACCACCTGGAAATTGATAAATTAAAATTAATACAAACCACGTTATTTGGATCAGTGACTTTGGATTCACTTCTCAGCTTAGGACGTTGTTATGGTTAAGAGGACTGAGTGATCCTTTACAGGTGCTGATAGTTCAGTGTTGGAAAAGTCCTACACTGTATTAGTGTTTAAGGTAACAAGCACGGAGTATTTTAAAAGAGTTCCCCCGTCAGGCGGCATCAAAAAAGTGGCGCGCGCCTGTTGTCATAGTTTATCAAGATTCGAAGCTTCTTTTAATCCTTATTAATAAAAAGTATGACAAAAAATTTCAGTGGTAGTTAATTCTAAACCTGCAGCTGTAGCCAAATGCCATTTAGCGCTTGTCTACATGTAGAATAGAAAACTAAATTATATGGAATTGACATAAATTTTGACACTTGTCAGTGTCATCCTTATACATTTAGTTTTCTACTCTCTCTGTAGACAAGCGCTAAATGGCGTTTGGCTAAAGGCACTGGTTCGACTGACCAAAGAATAGGAATTCAAACAAATACTTACTGGTAGATTAGGGAACAATACTTCATCGATTTCAGTAATGTTATTCAGGGTGCTGTAGTTGGACTCGAAGTTGTAGGACACGAAGACGTTCTTATTGGGTATATCGATGGGTACGGCTATGGCGAGGAAAGTCTGGAAATAGACAATTTTGTGTCAAACTATCAGCCTAGTGATTCAATTAAATGTCGTCATTGAAACAAATAACAAATTCAATCAGATGGCGGTGACACACCTATAGATGTGTTTTTATATTTTAAGTGTAGAATATAGTCGAATGGCTTCTCCCGCCTGGGTGCGATCAGACTCTTACTGATTGAAAACCACCCCGTTCCTACTCCTGCACTTAGAGCCGGATCCGTTAGGTTCTCCGCGGCTACCTATAGATAATGCACTTTATTATCTAAGAATTTGTAATTGGAATTATTGTGCTTACCCCATAAAGACTTGTAGGGGGAAAAATGAGTGACCTCTTGTGTTCTGACTTGCCTCTCACACTGGTCACGATGAGACATCTGAAAAATTTTTGAAATTTTTGAAAGACCAGTATACATAACTTATTTTTAAATTTTTAACGGACCTATGTTTAGTAAAAAATTCCAATCATAGGAGAAACCTAAACATATTATAGCATCATAATGTATATTTTATTTACCAAATTGTATTTTTGCTTACAAGTATAATGACATTATTATTTAAATATAACTTCGTGTTAATGTATTTCAGATTTTTGTTAGTACTGCCTAAAACACCAAAATACTCACATCGTAAACAAAATCTTGACGCCCTTCATTTTGAAAATCACAATAATAAATAATATATAGCACAGAAATATAATGTAAGTATGTACACACAGGCACTCGTACGTATATACTGGTATGAATATTTTTAAGATGCGCAGGCGACGCGAACTGGCCTACATTTTACAAAATTATCACTTGCTTGCTAAATTACAGTGCGATGCTTTTCACTCCGTGGAATTTTCTAAGTATTCAGTGACTGCAGCGCCTGCGTCAAATTTTCGTAAATACATACCTAGTAGGAAGTTATTTAAATAACTTCAAGTAATATATGTATTTATATTCCGTATATTTTGATTCCGTGAAAATTTTGTTAAACGTTGGCTCATATATTTTCATTTGCATATATTTTTCAGAGATATCAAATTCACAGATCGAAAAGAAAACGAAAAATAAATGTTATCACGGCGTCTGGATTGTGATACACATAATATTGTTGAAGAAAACAAGAATTGAATCATAGGCAACTACTCCTAACAGTTATTAAACATCACCTAGTCAGGTTAATAATTCGTAACTTCACTTATTCAGCATAACATAACGCAAGCGTTGTTTCACGCCGAATTCTAAGGCCGTGGTATCACTGCAATCGAGTACACTCATTCGTGCATAAGCATAGCTTGCCCACATTATGTCACTTTAAAATTATGCCGATTCTATCATCATCAACAGCCTATAAATACCCACTGCTGAACTAAGCCTCTTCTTAGACGGAGAAGGTTTGAGCATTAACTAATTAGAAATTATAAGCCCAGGTTTCCTCACGACTATTTCTTTCACCGTTTGTCAGTGGTGTCTAAATAATCTTAGAAAGTACATATAACTCGGAAAAAGTCACATTGGTATTTGCCGTTGGTAGGTTTCGAACTTGCGCCCTCATGCATGAGAAGTGCGCGTCTTATACCTCCAGGCCACCACGACACGATTCTATCGGTGCACTGTAATCGTTCGAGTGGGCTATAACATCAAGACCGTTATGTGAGAACTATACAGTCAGAAGGGAGGTACCACTGAAGGTTCTAATTGACCCAGAACATAAGGAAAGTGTCCCAGAATGTTTAGCTATGTTTGCGTAGCAACAAGTAGTATTATTTGGATGGATTTTGTATCTTTAGCAATTCTGTATTTCACTTTCAAAATATGTTTTTGTAAAATAGTTTTTGATGTGACAATTCTATTATTTAGAGCGTATAATATTATTGTTAGTTTTGCTATAAAAAGTTAAGAAAGAGAATTATATACGTAGATATATCATAATTCAATATTTACTTTTCAGGCGAACAAAACATAAAATGATTCATTTACTTATACTTTATTGCACACACAAAAAAATGTTTATATTGATTACAATATAAACATTTTTTTCTTTTAATTTAAACATTTATCACACGCGGCGATATATAGACGAATAGACTACTATTCAAGTAGGTAAGTACGTAAGTTACCTACTATATAACAGCGACTATGTAACAAACATATAAGGATTTTAATTCATAGGTTCCAAGCACCAACATCACCAACATTGGTCCAAATTGTAAAATTTATCTCAACAGTGACTCACAAATTGGCTTAACGTCGTCTTGACAGATGTAATCGTGGAATTTACGTGACAAAAGCCCCTCAACATTATTGAGAGGTGTTTACACGAGTTCTGCTGTAATGGAGCCATTACTCATGTAAGTGACGTGATTTTAAAGGATTTTGAACTTTAAAATAAATATAAAAAATTATTTGGGTTGAAAGAATATCCAGGTGTATATTAATCTTTGGAAAATTGCTAGCTTCGAAATTTTTGTGGTAATTAAGATTATTATTCCGTAAATAAATGAATAACAAATGTTACTATAATTTTATACAATAAGATACGAATTTATTATCTGTTTATTTACTTTATTATTAAACTTTAAACTAAAGTACCTAAATCATCACTTTTTATATTTGATGGGCCGACATTTGACCGCTATCTCGCCAGTATTTCATTTAATTTGCGAAAGCATTAACGGAGAAAACTGCTCCAAATAGTTTTACAAGTTCGTATATTTTTGTTGCATATAACTTTAGGTTTGTATATATCTTGTTTTCTTACTAAAACATATTATACATACATAGGTGCATACTAAAGCATATTATATGTATTTATGTTGTGTTATAAATATCCGCAAGTTTGACAACAATATCTCTCGGGTTTCAATGTGAAATCTCTTCAATAGAATCTACATAATAAACTAGGGTTTTCCTTCAAATGCCAAAACCACTTTCGTCGTCAATATTATAAGACTAGTTGTTGTCCGCGACTTCTCCCGCGTAGAATATTAATTTTTGGACATAACATTTTTGTTTCAATTTTTCAAAATAAAGGTAGCCCATGTTACGCCTTAGTTCATCAGCTACTTGCCAATAAAAGTCTTGCAAAATCTGTTCAGCCATTCCAGAGATTAGCCAGTTCAAACAGGCAGACAAACAAATTTTATAAAATAATATTTTGGTATGTGTAAGTATCGCATGTATAAATATAATATTACAAACAGACACTCCAACTTTATTTATCTATGTAGTTTTTCCTATATTTCCCTTTATATATATTTTTGCCGCAGAATATTTTCGAGGTTTCGTCCCCAAAAGTAATTGCTCATTATTTTCATTTTTTCCCATTTCAAAGATATCGTTGTTTAGATTTGACTATTGATTTTGTATCTTGGTTCTTTGACCTTTGACTTCTATTTGATGTTGAACAAATGTATGTTCAACAAGAGATACCACTTCATAATATACGCATAGTATCTTCGTATCGAATATAATTTATTTCCATTTATGTTCTGAGTTTTGACACAATATCAGAAGTCCCAACTCAAGGTTTGCCAGCGGGCCATGGAGCGCAGTATCTTAGGCAGGGCCGGATTTAGGGGGGGGCAACCGGGGCGAAAGCCCCGGGGCCTCCACAAGCAGGGGGCCTCCACAATAGACTTTGGAAAAAAAGTCTTTCAAATTTCAACTAGTAAACCTAGTAGTTTTACCTTTACCTATAGCCTAAAGTACTTTATACATACATGATTATTTGATTATATTAATTTTAAATATTAACAGAAACAGAAATCATTGATCTATATTTGTTCACTCCAATCAGGCAATCAGTGAAATATCAAAATCTCAAATGGCTCTGATAAGCACTTCCAATTTACTACCCATCTTGAGGGAGTACCCCAATGGCTCAATGGCTCAGTGGGATGGTACTTGTCCGCAACCTCGGAGGTTGGCTATTCGATTCCGTGTCTCGACCATTAAAAAAATTAATTGCAGTATGTGAACAATTGGTATTCTTCAATTCTTAAACTCGAAATCTGTCGAGCGTCTTCGAAATCTATCGGGCGTCTCGAAAACAATCGAGGACTCTCGATAGATTTCGAGGACGCTCGAAATCAATCGAGCGTCCTCGATCGTTTTCGAGCGTCCTCGAAATCAAGCGAGCGTCCTCGATCTCAATCTGGAAAATAATTTGGGGCAAGGGGGCCTCCACTCCTTTGTTGCCCCGAGGCCTCTGGACCCCTAAATCCGGCCCTGATCTTAGGAGTTCGACTATCGGACAGAATCACGTTGGTCATAAAGCCATAGGTTTGAAGTGGAACTGGGCTGGTCATGATGCGGCAGACCCGCTGTCAAACGAGCGGTGGGCAAAACTTACTACTGAGTGGATCCCGCTCAACGTCAATAGACGTCGCGGGAGGTCTAAAAGATGATTACGGAACGAATTAGACATGTATGACAAGGATTGGCCGCAAAAAAAGCTTTACATAGAGAGGAGTGGAAGGAGAGTACGTAGGCCCTTGCCCTGCAGTGGGACGATCATGGCTGAAAATAAAATAAAATAAATAAATGTTCTGAGTTCATGTTTCGTACCTAAATCATAATTATACATAACTAGCTGACCCAGCAAAATTCGTAGTGCCTAAATTTTTTTCTCACTTTTGAAACCTTCCCTGAACTTCCGCGAACATTGCAAGATCAAAATTTTCCAAATCCGTTTAGCTTTTGTAGAGTTCGATAACGAGAATATTGTGTATATCAATATGCTCACTATATAGAATTTTTAACATGAATGTTAAATTAAAAATGTACTCCAAGAACAGGAACAGGAATATACATACGTTACTTACATACATACAAATAAAAACAACATCTTCCTTCAAAGTTTCAGCTACCCTGAAATCAATTGGTGAAAAATCAACAGCCGGTTCTGTTCCAAGTGGACGCGTGTATCATCCCATACCAATATCGTGTAGCGAGCACTCACACACTCACAACCTCGATCATGTTCAATTACGGCCTGATAATTACAATGTGAGCTCACCAAACCTACGTCGCACTGCATGGGGTTCTATAAACCCGGAATGTTTCATTAATTAAGCAAAATGATTGGGTGAAGAGTTATAATGATAACGTATTTTCGTGAATATAATTTTAGTATTTTGTTTTTTGACTTAAAAAGTTGTTTTCAACAGATCTGGAGGAGTGTTTTTGTAAGACATTGGTTTATTGTATTGATTTGTAATAATAGTAGATTAGAATACATATCAAAGATGACTAAAGAATTACACATGTTTAAACAAAAACCTAGCTATTACCCGGAGTTCCGGACGGCCTAACCCGAACCTGGAGTAGGAACGGGGTGGTGTTTAGTCAGCAAGAGTCTGACACTCCCTCTCGCTTCACCCAAGGCGGGAGAAGTCATTGGATGATTTTCTCCCCTACAAAAAAAGTGCTGCAATCTCCAACCCACTTGTCAGGCGTGGAGATTCATACCCGATTCGATAATCGAAGCAGAGTCTTGTCTTGTTTGCGATATCTACCGAAGGTAAATAAACAAGAAAATACAAACGGCAATAAGGTAAGGTTCGTCAGCATTACAGCTCAGTTGGTAGTTGTGCAAACAGGCGCGACCCACAAACATACAGCAACGAGCTACAGCAGACCTCAGCACTCCTTGTTTGTACGATAC